CTTTTGATATTACTGAGAAGTCGGCTACTTTTTGAGTCCATTCAAAAGTCGCCGACTTCTTTTAGAACTAAATAACTATTAACTTTAATAAATTATACCATATTCATTATAGTCTCAAAAATGTGTAAAAACACAATAGTTGTTATAATTTGTTATATTATAATCATATAAATATAATTTAAAAAATGATTTGAGAAGATATAATTGGGACGGTATTTTTTTATTTCTTTTTTTAATAATAATTATATTTTTATTTATATGTTTTTTTTTTGAATTCCTTTTTTTTGATAAATGGTATTTTGAATAGTTATTTAACTAAATATTTAGGTCAGCGACTTTTAAGACCATTGAAAAGTCGGCGATTTTCAAAGGGACTATAAAGTCGCTTAACAGCTATTATATAGACAAAAACGGTAATAAAATTAATTATGAAATATAGAAAAGAATGTATACTTCATCTTAAAGAAAAAACGAAAATATAAAAACTATAACTTGTACTAGATTATTAATAATTAATTATTAATGTATTATTATTTATTCAACATAATCAATTCCAAAACATTAAAAAAAATTTTTCTAAAATTATAAGAAAAATCACACCAAAAACATTTTTTGTTATTGAAAATATTTGAATCAAAAGTTCAGGTATTAATTACAAAAATACTAAATGTTAACTATATAAAATAGATTTTAATAAAACCAATTTCTAAAGCAAGTAACAATTAAAAATTGAAAACTTTTTGAAAACTGAGAAACAAGAAATGGAAGGGAAAGTGAAAGAATTTCTTGACTGGTTCAATGAGTCCACTGATGGTTCTGTGAAGTCAACACAAGAACTTTCTGATGGAGTTAAAATCATTCATTACGTTTCTTTGGTGATTAAACGAGATATAAAAGTGATTGACCCCGTGAAAACAGACAACGACAAGAAGACTAATTTCGAAACTATTTACTCTATTTTAAGCACCGATTTCATGTACACATGTTCGATCTCAATTCAAAGTGTCATTTCTGGCGACCCCAAAGAAGTGTGCAGACTTTTGGAAGTACTAAGTTTCTTATTTAGAGTAAAACCACTTGGAAAAACGTCGTTCAAGCTTATCAAGGAGATCAGTATCGAAACCCGGACTGAAGTTAACAGTGAGCGATTTAACTTTTGGGAAGAAAGGTACCAAGTGTTGGGCATTCATCATCACCCACACTTCGCATCGTCGTTGTCTGAAGAGAAAAAAGCA